TTTCTGAAAACTATTATTCCTAACATAAGAAATGTGACTGACTATCTACAGTTATGTATGAAACCTTTTCGCATGCAAACAAACTTAAAGTTCAATTTTAACTCTACACTTTAGACAGTATTATATTATAAGTCTTAAACACAAGAAGAAACAAAGCACTTGTACGAATGAAATCTGGTCTTACTTTTGGTGAGACCACAGCTTTAAGAAATCAGAAAAACGTTGACTGAGTTGCCAGGCAGGTAAGTTATTATTTTCCTACACTGAAAATGTATTTCCGATAGGTTCTAACCTCGTCTCACATAAATAGCTATTCTCGTTCAGTGCTGCCCAGTACATACAAAAATCGTTTCGCATGTCACAAGCATTGAACTCCCACGTACCCTAACTTCAACATGGTTCAATTGCATATCGCATGTAAATCAACAAGTGACAATCCTCGTAACGCATGTGACTCCATCTATTCGATTCTACCGAACTATCACTTCGAGTGATGGCAGCACCAGTTTTCAGTGGGGAGGAAGGATGGGAATTGTGAGAGTAACTATCGGAAATTCATTTGCAGTATAGGAAAATTATAACTTCCGATATGGTACATTACCTCCTCTCACATAAATAGCTACAGTCCCACATTGAATAGGTGGACGGACTGGTGCAAGGGAAGAAAAGAAGCATCCTTTGAAAGTGTTCCAAGGACACCCTAAAAGAGAAGATTCTCGCATTAGAGGATCATACGTGAGTGGCCTCACCAGTTCTGTACCAGGTACACTCTTCGCCCAGTGTGGAAAGAGGTGACGCAGACCTGGGCAGAAAATGGGAGAAGTACATCCAAAAGGAAGAGACCAATGGGTGGATATAGATCCAAACCACCCAATATCTAAATTTCAATCCCATAGATTACATGAATGTGGATGAGAGTAAAAAGGATGTGCCCCTAGGTGTAGAGTGGCTAGGGCACAACAAGTCAACCACAATCCAAAACCCAGTTACAGGAACCGACATCCATGTGAGGTAGGAAAAAGGATCATACTGCTACTACAATCCAAACCCCAGCTATTTGGTGGGAGTAGCAGAGAGGATCATACCATTTTGACCTCAAGTTCAGCAGACTGAAATGAAATCTCGTTCCCACCAATCTGTGAACAGGACACATTGTAGCAATGTGACAAATTGTTTGACCAATCCAGGAACCCGACGTCTGGAATATCAGCATAAGAAAGATGCCCTTTTAAAGTAAACGCTGTCACTCAAAACCAATCTGACAGGAACTACCTACAGCACAGAAACATCCTCGGTATATGGAAATCATCGAGGAATGGCGTAAAGGAAGGACAACATTAATCTGCAAGTACCACCACTGTGACCCACAAAACTGGTGAAGTGAACAAGAGTATAATTGAGTGAGAGAACAGAGGCATCTATAATACATGTGTGAGGAGTTATGTTGGTTGGTTCAGCTCTGAATCCAAACCCCAGCCAATTGGAACCGACATCCATATTGAGGTAGGATGAGGGATCCCAATCGAGGGTGTGAACTGCAATTTTGATGGCTCATTCCAAAGCTATAAAATCCCCTCAAATACATCCGTACAGAGATGGAACATCGGATTGGAGCACATCTTGTCACAAAACATCACCACCCTATTCTCAACTGAATGGTTTCATCATTGTTTGAATTGTATATCAAATTCAGGAGGATGTCTCCATGGTCCACCACCCCAGTGGCATGGAACTGGAAAGTGATAAGAACTCCCATATTCCACTGGAAGAAAAAGGAGGAAGAAAATGCGGTGGAGAATCTGGAGGAACGTCAACACTGGAGACAATGCAACGGGTCACCAGAAAAACCCTATTTTGAAAAGCAGACTGTACCTGATTTATTTAATCGAAAAGATGGGAAGCTATCCCCTTCTGCTTTACCCATGAAGTCCATGAGTGAATATGGTCGGGAACAGGCATATTAATGAAGCAAGTCAATATCGCGAGGAAAACCCCATCTCAACAGTGAATGTTGATTGGCCATGATATATATATGTGAAGTAAACATGGCCTGACAGTTCAGAATTGAAGTATACCTGGCCAGGCACCACTCGCCACAGAGTGGGATCCATACAAGAAAATAAGGGAAATGCCCGTGAAAAATAAGAGGTATACAAAAGATAACTTACCCAAACACAGTCATGTTCAGGCATGTCAGCTGTAAATTTCACAAATATTTCAATAAATACATTGAAGTTCCACCCATAAATACATCGCCAGATATTTGAAACTTCTAGTTGTCTTTATTTTCTTAATTCTGGAGTTTCACTAAACATCAACAGTTTCAAGTATTAATTATGTGAGCTCTATTGTTTGTCTTTTGTAAGTGTGGCTTGGCATGCTCGCCCTTTCAGCTGTGGGGTTGTTCTAATGAAACTGTCAATTCCATTATTCGTTCGTAAAAAGTTGGCGGTAGATGGTGTTCACTAGCTGCCTTCCCTCTAGTCTATCACTTCCAAAATTAGAGAGATGGCTAGCATACATAGCTGCTTTGTGTAAAATTCAACCAACAAAATTTTGTGTTGGAATAAATTAAATGTCTCTTATGCTACTGCAAAACTTGTGATCAATCATTTCCTTCAATTCAGTGAAGTAGGAAGCTCAGATTAGCTTTGTAATACATATTCTACCAAACCTCTAGTTAGAGGAAATAAATGTAACCGAAAATACCACAGTAGCAGATGATGTTACAAAAGGTAATTTAAACTTTTTGTTAATAATGGTTAAATTTATCGCACTATTAATGAAGAACATATCTTATTGGTGACCATTTTTTATGTGCTTACTTCTATTTCTTCATATTGGTCATACACCTTTGTTTCTATGAGATCAGGATTAATTTTGTTCCACTTTTCTTGTACAGCGTTCTATAAACTGGTTGATATACAATGTTTATGACTTTCAAGTTTACACTCAAGCATACGAAAGGCACTAAAATTCGTTAGAGCTGCATTGGGGATTTGACAATATGTGGTTTGATGAGATTGCTGTGATTTTAATTGCATTGTAATTTTTCTCATAAAAATAGCTATTGATTTTGAGGCATGTCTGAAAGCTTTCGAGCTTTTGGCTTGTGAGCCTTTGTCAGTTACAAATCCTTGTTTATTACCTTGTTAATGATACCAAGATGTCCATCTTCATCTCAATGACTTTTTGGGTTAAAGAATTATTTTCTTTAACAATAATATTCATCTTGAGAATGAGGTCATTTATACTTAATAGTGTGAGATGTGTTTTTGAGAGGTTACTGTCCTAATGCTCTGCTGTGTGTGTGTGTTTTTTAGTTTCCACTGAAAATGTTTTAGTAACACGTCATTTAACAGTCTGTTGTATAAATATTTCTCTTCAGAAAGAGCAGTCACATATCTTTTCTTTTCATGCAACGAAGGAAAGAGCTTGGGAGTCTCGAGCCCTCTCCTTATCAATAAACTTTTAAAATGCATCCAAAAATATATATATATTAGGAAAACAATGAGTAATAAGACCTTTTTTTTTTGTTAATTTCTCAGTAATTATTATAAAAGTAACGGAAGCTACTTTTCAATTATAATATATCATTTACAATTTGATGGATTTACAGTGAGCCCATCCTTAAAAATCCTGGTTGCACATTTCATCTCTACAGCTACCAGTTGCTTTTTAAAAGCATTTCACAAGTTCAGTCATCTATTTCCATAATCCATAAATGTTTGTTTGTTTATTTAATATCGTGCAAAGCTACTAGAGGGCTATCTACGCTAGCTCTCCTTTATCCAGAAATGATAAACCATAGGAAAGGCAGCTAATCAACACCATCCACAGCAAACTTTGAGCTACTCTAACTGAAAAATGGGATTGGCCGTTACATTATAATATCCTCACGACTGAAAGGGCGAGCGTGTTTGCAGGCCATGTCAGACCAATCCATAAATGAACCACTCTATTCTGAAATCGTGAATAATACACTTATTTCTCCCTCTTAATTAAAATTTTGCTTCCATCCTTATTAATTATTTTGTTGCTTCAGTTAATAATATTTGAATGGATCAATTCAAATTATTTTTAGCAATCTTTTGAAAACACAGGAACAAAAAATTAACCCAAATGTCAACTATAGGTGTGATATTCAGGTGCACTGATATCTGCCAGAAAGTATAAAGTATCCACAAAGTGCAGGTTCTAGAGTAAAATTAACATAGACAGCAGATGAAATTCTTTGTTTGTTTGTTTGTTGAATTTCGCCAACGATCATTCCTATCAAAAGTATTCAAAGGAGATAAATTCTCAATTTATCAAACTTCCATAAGTCTTTGTATGGCCTCGCTCTATGACAGCATAAGACAGAGTCAAGCAGATATAGCCCATGGAACAAGCATTATTGTATCTAATATCCTTCTAAGATAAAGGTTTGGATCAAGTTTACTACCTTTCTACACACAGCTTATAAGGTTTGTCATTTACAATCTGTAGAACAGTGAGATCACCTGCACAAAAATGTAGAAAGATTTACCTGTATAAAAATATATTCTATATTAGATATGGAAGGGTAAAACATCTTGTACGTATATAAAGGCAAGGGGTTGTAATCCGCTTTCCGATGTACTATCAAACATGCTTGGGTTGCAGTTTTCTATTACTGATTGTCTCAAATAAAACCATCTTTGCAAAAATCCTGAATACACACTTGGGTGTGATGATATTTCTAATGGTCATCACATTAGCTACTTTATTTTCGCAATACTTGTGTCTTTATGTGATATGTTTGAAATAGAAGTCTACTGTTGCTTCTTCGGTCTTTAAATTGATTTTTTAAAATTCATGATATACACTTTGGACTCTAATAAAAACAAGCAAACTATTTTTCTTCTAGAATAAAAATTAAAAACTGAAATAATTAAGCAATAAATAGCTATGACCTAATGAAATGAGCACGCATAAATACACCCATTCTTTGTTCAATGATCCTGCCATCTGTTGGTGAAAAAAAGTAAAAAAGTGGGAGGAATAAGAGTACAACCAGTAAGCCTAACTTTAAAGTTAATTCAACAATACGTTGTATACCAAAACAATTGCAAAACATGTTACTTGTTTGCCTGCTCATTTTACTAAGATGGTCAAGTTAGGTTGTAAAATGAATATAAGAGGTTTAACGGGTTGAAGACAACGTCTGAGTCATTTGATTCATCTTTGTCATGGACATAACAAAAAAGATAAAATCATTTGTAGCAAGACAGGTGAGTTACTTAGGGTTAACGATCGCTAAGCTTAGTACTACTAGTACTAACGCTACATATTTTTCTTGTTACGAAAGCCTGTACACGAAACTTCCTTTGATTTTACGTAAAATGTAAATTCTTTGAGTTAGGGCATGTATTTTTCAGTTGCAACTTGCAGTTATACGCATGTTACGAGTAGTGTTCCACTTGGTGACGTGGTTTGTCATATGCATTTTGAGTCATTTATTAACTCATAGTCATACTACTTAAGTGCTATTACTACTAGATTATAAGTTAAAACTTACAGTAAACTTGAACTTATTAACTTTTAAGTTATTTAATTTTTTGTTGGAAATATATAAATTGATATGGATATGAAACTGAAGTACTTCACAAATAATAAGCATATGTAATTCAAGCTTAATGGTTTTGGTTGTTTGTTTTTAATGGTAAGATTGTTTCACATTACTTTTTTATTTATTTTTTAATATATTATACCAATCTATATTATATTCATACATTATATTGCTTTGTAGCTTAGATGTAAAACGGAATTAATAGTTGTTTTCTATTTCTCTCAACCTAGGGTTTTTGTAAAGGATAACAGTACAGTTTTATTGTACATGTTGCTTGCAACAACAACAAAAATTTATATATATTTATATGTATACTCAGACAAAAATAACTAAAAAAATATTTTATTTTATATGCAGTATGGGGATTGGGATATGAAATAATCACAATTTCCAGAAATAGATAAAATAGAAAAAAAAAAGTTTAATTAACCTTATGAAGCTATAGTGACTCAAGATTTATTAATATTAGTGTAATGACAATGTATTTAACAGTTGTTTTCGTATAATTCTGACACTTTACCATTTCCAGTTAATATGATATAATAAGTATAATTTAGTTTCAAATTTTGAAGGTTTTTAGCACTTAAGTAGGTAAAGGAATATATTTAGTTCATTATTGAAGTTGGCATGTTGGAAATGTAAATTTGAATGAAATAAACTGATACTGAACAACTAATCAAATGTTTAATATTAAAAACTTGTATGAAGTAAAATGTGTATAAAATTAGTGAAGAAGAATTGAACAATAGTGTACAACCTGAAACAAATTTTTAGTTCTATATTTTTTAGTATTTCACATAAGAATGAGCCTAAGGTGATAGCATAAGATCCTTGCAGGATGTTTACCAGGTTGTTTACCATTAAAATATAATTTTAATTAAGAAAAATACTTAACCCTTTGTTTGCAGCTTGTGTAAATCTGCCTAAAACCCTATGCACAGAGATTCGGGAATTTTTTGTGGAACATTCAAAATGTTGAACACAAAATGCTTGCATCATATGATGTCAACCACAGTTGCCTACTCTAACATCTTATGATGCTGACTGCAGTTAAAGGGTTTAGCAACAGCTATTAAAGTCTATGGGTGTGTTTAAGGATTTGTTCTTTAGTCAAGAAGTCAAAGACAGCTCTAAACATTTGAAGGTCCATCAGGCAACTTCAAGCAGTGTCAGATTTTTGTTTTTGCTCTTGTGAACAGAAAGCATTTTATAATGTTTGAATAGTAATAATGCATTAAATGTCACTTGCATGAAAAATTTAAAGTGTTAAGTTAATAATATCAATTAGTCAGAATCGTAACTACAATTATAAGGAAATAAACGCAGGGGACCCATGTTTTGTATTTATGCTACTTTTGTATTTATTTTCTAACCAAAGTGTTATTGTTACTCTATTCATATTATTATTATTATTACTGTTTATTCATTTTGTTTATGCCTTTATTCAAGGCGTATGTTTAATCAATCCACAATGTTGTTAAAAAAAAGTGACTGATAGCAGTGTAACTCTTTGTTATTGTAGAAGATCTATATTTATTTTCTAGTTTAACTGTCAATGTTACTCTTTTCTGTTTTGCTGTTTATTTAATATTGTTTATTAGGTGTGTTTAATTAATCAGCAATTTTACACTAAAAAGACTACAGTTGTTAACCTGCTTGGAATAATAATTATTAAATAAAGATTTGTTTTGTAAGTCAGCTGCATTTCTGTTAAATGACCAACCAAAAATTAAATTGTCTTGTCATGATGCTTTAACAGTTTTTAATCTCTTTATCTTTCTTTTTACCACCAAGGGATTAATAAATGTCTAATCTACCCAGTCCCCGTATTTAACATAGAATGTTCATGGTCAGCAATACTGCTAACCTACTCTCATGTAAAAACATGTAAAAGACTAGCCATCTTTGTCTTACAAAATATTTCCACTAGCATGTGTTTACGGGTACAATTCCCATTTTTAAACTTTCCTTTCCTTTTAACATGTTTATAAAAGTCATTGCCCTTAGTTTTAACATTATCAGCCAATTAATCTTTGTTAGACCAACTTAAGATGACATGTGCTTGATATTCAAACAATATATCAACATGAATGCAATATAGCTTACATATTTTCCATTATTTTTTTACAATAAATGTTTACAGTTGTTAGAGAAGCAGTGTTTTAAGATTGATTAATATCTATGTTATGGTATTTTTTGGGAGGTGGAGGAATATAACTTTTTAAAACACAGAAAAACTTTTAAGTGACAGAGGATCATTTGGTTGATTGGTATTACCATATCTACATCTGAAAAGGTTATTTGTACATAGAAAACAAATATATTTTTTTCCAAAAAAGCTATAAATTAAATCATAAACACCACATCATGAGGCAAACAGTTTCCCATGTTTACAGCTTTAATAAAAGAATAATAAGTTTTTAAAAGAAAAAAAAGTCTGTTTTTCAGATTTCACTGTTAAATTTATTATATCTATTCCTAATATTCAAGCTTACATTTCCAACTTTTCAGTCAACCACTAATTTCTGAACCCCTAACAATTTTGATTGCCTGAATCATCACCTCTAATAACCAAGGATAATTCTAATAAACCATCTTTGTACTCCTTCTGACATATTTATATCTTTCCTGTAAAAAGGGAACCAAAATTGCACCCAATACTTCAAATGAGGCCTCAGAGTTTTATAGAAGATTACAGTTACCTTTTCAATCTTTAGTTCTTATTCCTAGAAACAGAACCCAGAGATCTGTAATATGTGTTTGTTTTGTGATTTTGTCTCAGCTAAAACCCAGTTGAAAAACTTCAGGGTCTTTTAACTATCACTCTTTAATCATTCTCTCTTTTTTTTTTAACACCAGTTATCCCTTTACACATAATATATATATATATATTTTTTATTTTTTTTAATTATAAAATGTAAGATTACCCATGTAGTTGGTCATTCACATTTGAAAACAAGGGAGGTTGTAACCTTGAGATATTACTTGACCTACCATTTTGAGACACAGCTGTCTACATTCGTGCACAAGGTGCAGCTTTACAACAATATTCAAACAGGCAGATGAGGTATTATCTCAAAAGAATGACAAAAAACAAAGGTAGCTAGAGTGAAAGCAACTTAACTTTAATAACCATGGGTTATGTGAAGACTACATATACTAAGAATAACAGATAAATTTTGAAAAAATCTATATAAGAAGATAGAAAACACATGATATATTTACAAGTCACAGCAGAATAATATGTTAAACACTTGCAGCAAAAGAAATGCAAATACACAGTTGTAAAAATGGGCAAAATCTTTATTCATATAAATAGAGTAAACTTTACCAGCTTTTAATGCATTATATGACTTCTAACAGCAGTTGGAGTGGAGATATTTCACACGTGTACTTCAGAGGTGGAGTCAGAGAAAGAGATACTTCATATTTATGTCAAACTGAGGTCCTAATGCAATATACCACATTCCTTAGATCACGTATATCAGTATTCCAAATAAACATAGATAAGAAAGAGAACCTTCAAATTCATACTTACCTGTTCAACTATCCATATCACACCTTGAAAAGGACTTATCTTACACCAGAGATTAGACACTCATGGTTAAGTAGCCACAGACTTTAATCAGATAGCTGTTGCACTACACTGTATGTAACCTTTACCTAAACAAGGGAATTGGTATAAATTTGAGTTTTGGGCACCTGCTTTGCCAGGAAGAACACCAGCATTGAAGTTTAGAAAACAAATGAGAAAATATATATTTTACATTAATATGAAAAGGTAACTGTGAGAAGTTCAATTCTAAGTCACCTGATATTTCAGTTAGTGCAAATGGAGGATTGGGGGTTTGATGGTGCCATATATTTTTTTAACAGTGAGTTAAGAGTCGCACTATCTCTCTGTCAGCAGTTTGTAAACAAAGTCTTTATTGTTTAAAAAGTTGATTTGAACTTAAAACTAAATGTTGTGTAATGGAAATATTCATACAGAATGTTCAGAATCAGTATGCTATTCAGATAAAGTAAATAACTTAAACATTTTTGGGTTTTTTTCATTGTAACAGATAGAAAATTACTTAAAAAAGAAGTGGTTGGGGGTGGCTTCAGCCTACTCAAAAGTGGCCAAACCCCTGACTGCAGTACACAAATGATCATATTCTTTAGGTATTGACACAAAATGATGTCTTTTCCACTATTTCCTAACTGGTTTAAGACACCCAAATCAGAACAAAGTATGTTGTCAAATATACACTCTTCACATGACCTTAGATAGTTAACATGAAATGGTATATATATATATATATGTTTTATGAAAAAACTATCATTTCTCATAAACTATTATCAGGAATAGATATGCACAACCTTCCAGGTAAGTTAAAAACCTAGCATGTTTATGAACATGTATATATAGTCATTCAACTCGGATAACCAATCACTGTCTTGGGACTTTGGCTCCCAACAATGTTTTTAGACAAATTTAAAGTACAAACCCAAATACTAAAACTGATTCAGATTTGTACTTTGAAAGTTTCTGGTACTTTCTATGATTGGCTTTGCGGCCAAAACATCATTTATATTTTGCAAAATATGTCATGCTTTCAACTAATTAAAAACAAGTTTTGTTAAAATGAAACGTTTGAGAGGTTAAGTGGTGATTCAGTTCAGCTAAATGTTCTTATGTTCAGTTTTCTCATTCATTCTTAAAAGTTCAAGTAGAAATTATTAAAGATTTCCTATATATTTCTGTATTCAAAAGACTTGTTTACACACTCATTTTTTTTATATATGCATGTTCTCATAAATAGGGATCTCGATCACCATGTAGTCCAGTTGAACCACTCGTGTCAAGGGATTTTGTCATTGAAACAGCTGTTGTAAAAGAAAAGGTAATAAATATAATTTCTATTTGCTTTATTGTTTTTCATTTCTATTCATATAAATTTATAGAAATATGAAAATGATGATTTGAGAACTAATAACGAGAATATTAACTGAAACAATTCTGTATCTCAATATAGAATTGTATTTTACATTTTTATGTTAAGTTTTAATAATTTATACAAATGTGCATGTGAGCAGTATCAACTTGTATGTTTTAATCTAAACATGCTCATAGAACATTCTATTTTAATTCTTAAACTGAACAAATTATTTATGAATCTTTCTTTTGAAATGAAGTACAGTAATGAATTAACTATTTGAGTTAACATAACTAATGTGTTATATGTCGTCAGAAAATCCAAGTTACTGAAAGCTTTGGCCTTCATGTTTAATTTTTTGCCTTTTTTATTTATATCTTTTTTATGTTACTTATTTTGAAAGAGGGATTCTAAGTTTCCTCTAATTACAAAAATCTCAGTAAATTTTTCTGATGTCAGGTACACTTAAAGCCCGTCTTATGCAAATATTGAAATTTCAGAACAGCTAATGGCATTTTGTGCTCACTTGAAATTGGAACTGACAGAATGCTGGTGACTCAAAATATAGCTTGGTTTCTTTGTTGGTAGTTCTAGCTGGCCTACAGATTCAGAAACTAATGTTGTTTCTTCTGGAAATGATTGCAAATCTTTTTCTGAATTGAAGTTTGCAGAATTAGAGCCAAAGAGAAAAAAAAGTTAATATAGAAAAAGTTGTTTTGGGGGTAATTGTTATGTAGAAGGAAAAGATAGAAAATATATTTTGTAGGAGTTAAAAAATTAATATATTTTTCTATTGCAGCAGTTCCTTTTATAATTTAACACGGATTTAGATGGATATATATTGTGGCTATGAATAGACAAGTATGGCTAAAAGAAGTACTTTGTTGGCTAAAAAAGAACTAGTGTGGGCTAGCCCTGATAGCAGTTCAAAAACTGTATATTATAGAGTTTTATGTAGTAAACTACACATTATACAGACAGAGGTTGAGTATGTTATATTAAAAGTATTTTGGAATTTCACCACCTTGTTACAATCTGTGGTGCCACATCCAGTCTTGCTCTACCTGATGGCTGTGCATCTTGACAATAAACCTACAGTTTCCATTGACTAAAATCTGTCACAAGGTTGTTATATCCAAAGTACTCCTCCCTGCTTGCTTTCCATAATCAATCTAGTGTATGAGGACAATGATTTCATAGCACTTCTTTCAATAGTCTAATAGCATAGAAATCCATAGTGTTTGCATCTGGTGATATACTAGGTATGTCTTCGTATGAAATAGCATGAATATCTGTTTCATTCTCTAACTGATTGAGGTATGTGATGATTAAACAGGTATATTAAAGAAGCTGGGGCATGTGGATGGCTTTTGCTATTTACCTTTGTGTTCATGGATTCTCACCTGTTACAAGATGCTGCACATGTCTATCATGGCTAGGTTACAAATTGTTGTAAGTCTTAATTCTGGATGATTTTTGTATCCTGCATTGTTTTGTATTTCTTTATTTTACAATGCACTTAAGTACAAGGGAGATTCTTCTCTTAGAAATTCTAAATTCTTTATCTGAACAAGTCTTTATGGTCTAAGTATATGAACATTTTACATCAGAAAGGGCTGTTACATACCCTTATCAAAAGTAATCAGTTTTCTGTGGCATTGAACTATGTATGGAACACCATACACTACAATTTTATATTGGTTGTATTGTTGTCACATTGACTTCCTCACTTGCATATTTAAAATCATTTTAATATCACATACTCAACATCTTTAGAAGCAGAATACATCATACTCCAGTATTTCTATGGTGGAGCTGTATGTACTTAATTCCTGTGTTTTACATAATTCAATCTATTAAAATAGCTACATGTTATTTAAAGTAATATTTGATAAATATTTAGTTTAATGAAAAATTACATACCATCTATATCAATCATAAAAACATAGTGATTGAAATGTAAGTGCATTTGTTATTTAAGACTTAGAATTCAAACAGTCAGAAAGTGTGCAAGTCTTTAGATATTTAATCACTGTTTATAAAGATTTTTACAGTATTGGAATGCACATCTATAACAGTTATAACGACAAAGGATAAAGTTACTGTATACTTTTAGCAAGCTGAATTTACAGTATGGTTTTTAAGAGTGAAAAATTATTAATTTGTATGTGCAACTTAAAATTGGATTACGTAGTAAGTAAAAAATGTGTACAGTTAAATAACATTAAGTTGATAAAGTTGCCAAAAGGTGCTCTCTTGACTGCAGAAGCAAACTTTCATCCCAGCTTTTCAAAACTTGAGGTTGATTAACCCTGAATTAAAAACATATTTTTGTATTCTTTTTTTACACATCATTATTTTTCATGAAATAGAGTTGATTAGAGACAAAAAAAGCAGATTTTAGCCTAATTGAGTTTCATACTTCAAAAACATTTAAGTTTTTTACGTTCAATAAACACTATAAGACAAGTTACACCACATATTAAAGCATGTATAAGCTTTAATACTTGTTAAACCCAAGTTAAAAAGTTATGATACATTTTATTTCTAACCACTAGAATTTAGAATTTACACACATTTCATAAGTGAACCTGATTTTGACTTTTAAAGTATACATAAGGCTGGAAATAATGAAGAGAACCACTTTTTTGTTTCAAGTTTGTTTTTGAAGTGTATATGTATTTGTGCAAAAAAAAATGTGTAATTAAAATGGAGGATCACAAGTAAAAGCTGAGAAGCTACACAGAAGTTTAAAAACCTAAGTTAAAGAATTTATAAAACAAAGAAGCAATGTAACAAACATATACACCAGATGTGAATTGAAACAAAATGTCAAAAGGAATTACCAAAGCAAAAAAATCAGAAAGAGAAAATACCTTAAAATTTAGAAGTGACATAAGGGCTTCCATATCTACTTTAACAGTGTGTAATTTTTATTGATTGAAAGTACCAAAAGCCTTTTATTATATGCTATTATTAATCCCTTGTATGGAATAACTAGCTGAAGTACCTGTTAAGTGCACAGAGAAGATGCAGGGGCTCCCAGGTAGTGACATAGAGGGTTCAGATCCAAATGCCATCTGCTTATAACACTCTCTGGGTGTCCTAAGGATACATGCCAGTCTATCCTGAGGTTCACCAATTATAAATGAACACATTGTATAAGGAAGACATAGGTGCCCTAGGGGTGTTTTAGAGGGTCAGATCTGAATTCTGATCCCCCAATGTTACTTTTAGTGTGGGGAGAGCTAAGGGTACATGCAAGATTTGCTGACAATCAGTCCAGCAGTTTGCCAGTTATAAGCAGACTCACACTGAGTGTTTTTTCATATAATGGTTTACATACTTTGTAGGTATGACTTTCTTGGGAAAATGTATAGAAATCCTGTTTTGGAAGGCTCATGACATAAAACTCTCTGTTCTGTCTGAGAACAATCAGAAAGTTAAGAACAATTTTTAAAAAACCTGCAATAGTTTGCTAATTTATGTAATTTCACTTTCTAGAGTGTTCTGATAATATATTAAAGACATGTGATATTTGGTATGAGTTGTTTTCTTTTCTTTTTCCTGCTTGAAATAAATCACTGTATTTATTGTGTTTTGTACAAGAAAGGAAAGTTAACAGAAAGTGTTTCAAACACTGACTTTATTGACTGTTAAATGATGTTTATGAATAGTTCTTGTTCATTTAATTCTTAGCACTTTGTTCAAGAAGTTTGAAACATTGTGCATCAAGAACTTTTGGAAGCTGTATTCAAATGAGTACATAACATTTTATAAAAAAAATTTACCGTAGGTGAAATCATGGATGTGAAATCTAAATATTTTATATCTTTTATGGACTCTAGGATGACTACAGAGAGTCCACAATTAACCCCCAGGCTGAAGCTGAAATCTTGCAAAGCATAGAAGAGGTCTACTTTAATGATGACACCTTTGATGCTTGTGATTATCAGTTAAAGGTAAACTGAGTTGCATATAACCTTAGTATCAGAATAAATTACATACATGTCAGTGTTTTAATAATATATTTATTATAAATGTTAAGATAAAATTGTCAGTTTTTTTAAGCATCTGCAATATATTGAATTTTGAATAAGCTACCACTAACTACAGAAAAAAGTTTCATGTGTTGGCTAAAAAAGTGAAGCTTTACATCATTTATCAAGGATTAATATGAAAAATTCTATCAGTGTTTAAGGTTCCTTGATGATGCACTTGGAATTTGATAATTTAATCTACAGAACTTAAATATGTTTTATACAATTCACATTGCTCTATAATTCACTTTAGAACATTAGGAGGAAGACTGTACTCTACTAAAACCACAGCAGTCATATGACAAGACCTAAAGATTTACTTATCATATATGCAATTTCAAAGGACTGTCTATTTTGTAATGTAAATTTAACTGAATGTGCATGGGGGGTTAGTCCATTGGATCAACCCCATGTTGGAGAAGGAAGGTTACCTATAATTCTGAATTTACTTTGTATACCTACATGAAATGTAGCAAGCTTTTAGTAAAATGTACAAGTCTGTTGTACAAAAAAATCAGATGTGTTACAAACATATCTGTACTCAATATATGTTTAGGAATTGACAATGTTGGACTGAGTCAGACTCTGACAAGTTGGAGTGCAAGGTGATGTTCATGTGAAAAAGAAAAATACTTTTGTCCATCATTCAGTTTGATATTGCCTTTGCACAACATCCAAAATGCATATCTACAGTTTTATCAGTATTCTTATATATTGTATCTGGTATTTACTTTCTTCTCTCACAAGCTGTCACTAAATCAGCAGTGTAGGGTAAAATGAATAACTGATAACCCTGACATCAAATACATAATATCATGTGGAATGGCACTCTGTAAAAGTTGTGACATGCTCACTTTGATCTCTACCTGTGCATGTAGGTTAAGTCAAATAGGTACCCAGGCATCTTAATTCAAATGACTTTCGCTTTCATAAAAAAGTAATATTACTTGCCAATTAAGCTAATACAGTTTTGTGACATGTTAATTCTTGTATATATATTTCATACATAAAAGTAACTTACAAACAATTTTAAGACAAGCAGGCTTACGGTGTACCATTCAGAACTATGTAAAAACCAAGAAAAACTTAAACACTAATTTTTAAAGTTTACATACAAATCAGAAATTAGATATTAGAACAAAAAATGGACTAAAGATGTAGGGCAGGTTACAAATACATAAAGTGTAAGGTCATATGAAAATTACATTTATTGAACACTCAACTATCTAGCATGTGTGAAAAAAGTGGGAAAAGTTTTAAATCTTTAATTAGTTCAGTATTAATAATGGCTGGAGGTACCTGATGATGACAAAACCTTGTCGAAACGTTGTA